GCTGGGAAGGTGGCTCAGTGGTACAATGCTTGCCTTGTATGCCTGAGGCTCTGGTTTTGATTCCTCAGCACCACATAAGCAAAAAGAAAAAAGCCGGAAGTGGCATTGTGGCTCAAGTGGTAGAGCACTAGCCTTGAGCTGAAGAGCTGATGGACAGCGCCCAGGCCCAGAGTTCAGGCCCCACGACCAGACCCCCCCCCCAAAAGCCACTTAAATCGACACCAAACCTTGCTCTCCAGTGTTCTACCCCACTGGTTTTTAGTTTTGATTTGTGGCGATCCAGAGAATGATTGCAGGGCTCTGCTCCTCACAAAGCCCTGACAGCTGGCTCCTTCCCAAACCACCAGCTAGTGTTGAAAGATTACAGTACAAAGAGAGCATGGGGCAAAAGAGTATACATTCTACAGCTTAGCAAACTTTCAGATAGAAGAAAAAGCAAGCCAGGTAGCACTAAAAATGTAAGAGCCTGGTGAAGTGGTTTTCGTGATGTCCTCTGCTTCTGGGCATTCATCGTTTTCATTCTGAATGACTAAAGTTTGTGTCAATATTTTCAAACTGCTGATGTCAGCTTACAGTGAAGAATGGAACCAAGGCAGAGAAGCCAGTACCCACCTCCCTACAATGGCACTTGGCTTAGAGAAGATGGAAACTAGCCCTCTCTTGTTCAGGGCTCTGGGGAAAAGACAGAATTATGAATAAGCTGTCCTCCCTCCCCCCTTGAAATGGCAAGGATGGAAATTCTACCTGAGGAACTGCATATCTACTGATTTCCTTGATTTGGTCTGAAGGAAACAGGAGCAAAAAGTATGTAATGTATATGTATAGATATATATGTATATATAAGTATATACATATATATCCATTATATATGCATACATATATATTAAACTTCCCCTTTTTCTGCTCTATTGTCTTCATGCTTTTGTGTCCTTCTCTGACATTTCCTGCCTGGATTATTAATTCTAGCTCTTCTTTCTTTTCCAAAAAACATAGGCTCTTTAATTGGAGGGAGGCATGTTTACGGATTGGCAGTCATTGAAAAATCAATGTGACTCTGGAGAGTTTAGGATTGTGTGTCATGCAATATGTATACGTCAGTGCTGTGTAAGAGAATACGACCCAACCATGGGAGCCACAGACCCCAGCAGGGAATCTATCTTGACGTCTCCTCCTTGTTGTTATTTCTCGAGACTTCCTTCCTAGGTCCATATATGTCTGTGGATGTCTGTAATGAACAAAGAATTAAGGAAAATACTTGGCGACGTGAAGCATTTGCAAACAGTGTTTCTCCTTGTTAGAAGAACCAGAATAGAGAGTAGAGATTTGAACTCAGAACTTAAGGCAGACAGGAGAAGAGCACTCTGAATGGGACTGCTACGCTCAGTAAGGTGCCGAGGCCAATGGGCAAAGCATGTTGGAAACTATGGCAACGTTGGTCGGGTGTTCTAGAAGAGTCCAGAATGTGAGAGAATAGATAAGACAGGACAGCCCTTAGCAAATCAGCCTCATCCATCACGATAATGACTAAACTCCTCAGCAGGTAGCTCTTGTGAACAGGGCTTGTTCTCAGGATCACACTGCCAATAAGATGAGGCTGAGAATGACACGGAAAATGCCATCTGGAGCGGTTCCTGTGCAAACCTTGTTTGCTTTTCAATGGCAGCCCCAATACCTTTGAGACAATGACATTTTGAAAAGTAAGCAGCAAATACACAGGGAAATCCAAACACGGCCCTTCTCTAGTTTCCTCATAATCATTTCTCCAAAGTCTGGCCATGTGGTTTTGCACTCAATCAGTAGTGCATGGGAGCTTTGGGTCTATGACGTCTTTCACTGTTCCAAAGGGGTGTGGGGTTCAGGAAGGGTTGACTGAAATCCATATGGCAACAATGCAGTGCTAACCACACAGCGTTTCAGATTGGAGCTGGGTGAATCTGCTTGATTGGAAGCTAAGGCTGGAAGACAAAAGGAAAGCATTGTCCTCTGTCACACTGAAGATCTTTGTCCTGTTCCTTCTGGTTTTCGTGTAATCTTACCGACATGGCTTGCTCAATTGATATTGTTCTTTTCTTCAAACAAACCAAAGGGGGAAGGGAGTGGGAACCATTTTTTAGTGAGAGAAGAAGTAACGGAAATATTTTAATAGGCAAAGGTAATAAGAGTTTTTAAATGACAAATAGAATACATGAATCAATCGAAAGGAAACCGTTTTCCTGTACCTGGCAACTTTATAATGCTATCCCAAGTCTAGTTTAGAATAATCAGCCAAGAAGGGTTACCTATGAGTGCTGTCACTCAGGCTCTGATCCTGATTTCCTAAGATGAAGGGTGGAATGGTGAAGTAGGGCATTCCTTAAGACCCGGCAGGGCGATTCTCACCGAGGTGGAGAGCAGCGTCTAAGTTCTCACATCTCAGAGGGGTTGAGGTAACCTAGTGTGGCGACGTGCAGGCCAAGGCTTCTTCTGGTGTGTGTGTGATACTTGGTATTTCCAAAGTAGTCACCGTGTGCCATGAGAGACAACCTTTGCATGACCCTGCATGCAATGTCTGTGAGCCAGGGGAACACTGAGCTGCAGGCTTCTGTGTTCGAACCTGCTGGCCACAGTATTAGAACCACAAGGTTGCTTCCAACGCAGACCTACTAAGTCAGAAGTGACGTCTAGGTGTAGCAAGCCTTTTTGTGGATCCGGATGTAGCTAATTAGAGCTGAGGAAGTGCTGTCCTGGAATTTCTCTTGCCTCTGTGGAAGGAAAGAACCGACGGCTTGTGTCTCACAAGCGGCTGCACACGGGGACTGGCCTCAGCCTTCTGCGAGATGTGGTACAGCAGATACAGCAAGCTTGTGAGCTGTGTCACACGCCACCTCCGCTCTGAGTTGTGTCACACGCCACCTCCGCTCTGAGCTGTGTCACACACCACCTCCGCCCTGAGCTGTGTCACACGCCACCTCCACTCTGAGCTGTGTCACACGCCACCTCCTCTCTGAGCTGTGTCACACACCACCTCCGCTCTGAGCTGTGTCACACGCCACCTCCTCTCTGAGTTGTGTCACACGCCACCTCCACTCTGAGCTGTGTCACACGCCACCTCCGCCCTGAGCTGTGTCACACGCCACCTCCGTTCTGAGCTGTGTCACACGCCACCTCCGCTCTGAGCTGTGTCACACACCACCTCCGCCCTGAGCTGTGTCACACGCCACCTCCGCTCTGAGCTGTGTCACACACCACCTCCACTCTGAGCTGTGTCACACACCACCTCCGCTCTGAGCTGTGTCACACACCACCTCCGCTCTGAGCTGTGTCACACACCACCTCCGCTCTGAGCTGTGTCACAGGCCACCTCCGCTCTCAGCTGTGTCACACACCACCTCCGCTCTGAGCTGTGTCACACACCACCTCCGCTCTGAGCTGTGTCACACGCCACCTCCGCTCTGAGCTGTGTCACACACCACCTCCACTCTGAATTGTGTCACACACCACCTCGACTCCCAGGAGCAGCACGAACGTGATCGCCTTGATCATCTGAAGTCAGCCGTCACACCGAAAGAAACGCCTAAGTCATCATCAAAATCTGCTTCGTAGAATATTCCCTGCTCATTCGTGGATCCAGAGTTTCCTGGTTGTTCCACACTTACACAAACGCATGTTTGATTCACAGAAGTGAGCCACTTAATTCCCTCTCTCTTGTGTGTGTGTTTGTGCAAAATAAAAATGACTACAATAAAAACTGCTGACTCTAAAATTCTGTGATTCAGACATTCAACCATTTCGTAGGAGGGTCAGCATATGGTAACATGTTTGTGCTTGGTATTTTAGCAGTCCATACACACACACACACACACACACACACACACACACACACACATACAGAGAGTTAGAAATAAAGGAGAGAAAGAGAGACTCTTTGTTTAAGTAATCCCTAAAGAATTGTATCTTTAACCCTATTGCATTATTGGTGGAAGTATAAACGTGTTCAACCACTCTGGAAAGCAGTATGGAGATTCCTCAAAAGACTCCACATAGAGCTCCCCTATGACCCAGCAATCCCACTGTTGGGCATTTACCCAAATGTTTACAAACAAGACCATACTAAAGCTACCAGCACAACTATGTTTATCGCAGCATTATTCACCATAGCTAAGATATGGAACCAACCCAGATGCCCCTCAGTAGATGAATGGATCGAGAAAATGTGGTATATATACACAATGGAATTCTATGCCGCCATCAGAAAGAATGACATTGTCCCATTTGTTAGGAAATGGAAAAACTTGGAAAAAATTATATTAAGTGAAGTAAGCCAGGCCCAAAGAAACATAGCTCCCATGGTTTCCCTTATTCGCAATAACTAGTATATGTCTATGACAAACAGAAAAAGTCATAAGCTATGTACATATGTACATATGACCATATGTTGTCACTGCATTTGATTCTGGTGCCCTGAATCTTGTATATACATTTTTCTAATATAGGGAGGGGAAGGGAAATAACAAAATGCTGAAATAAGGATACAGGTTGACCCATTGTAACAATGAGATGTACAAGACACTATGTTGAAAACGAACTTTACAATTGGTGGGGAAGAGTTGGAGAGGTGGGAAGGGAAGGGATGGTAGGGGAAAAACAATGCTCAAAAGAAAATGTACTCATTACGTTACTCATGTAACTGTAACTCCTCTGTATAGTATCTTTACAATAAAAATATATTAAAATCATTAGATCAAAACCAAAAAAGGAATTGTATCTTTATAAAACTTTAGCAAAAGTAACACAGGTTTTGTTTTTGTAGGGAAAACTTGTGGGGATAATAATATTTTACAACCCTATCCTTTGAAAGTGGCAGTATTCACCCAAGCATACAGAAGTTCTTGTCTTTGATAAGCTTCAGTAGTTAAATATTCTTCCCAGGAAAATCTGCATACAAAAGAGATTTTTGTTTCCTTAAGATGACTGGCTTAGAAAAGATCTGTGGACAGTTTTACTGAAGAAACTCTTGTACCATGGAGGTCCATCTCTTTCTCTTTATTCTGGTCTTTTGGTCCACAATTTTATCAGGTAAGATACAAACACCTATGACTACTTGTAGCAATCAATGGAGTGAACTATTAATACCATTGTGTAGATTTTTCATTTGACCTTCAAAGTGAATCATTGACCTCTTCTTTAGTTCTGCATGAACCAAATCTGGAGAACTCTTATGATTACTGATAAGAGAAGCATAATAAAAAAAAACAATCAACTGCCATGTCTGGATAGATAGTTTATCTTTTCAGATTAAAGAGCTAGGTACAGATTTAAAAATAGTGAAGATGGTATAATAGTTCTGTCACATTCTAGCTCACTCACATAAAGTATTGAGCTAAAGCGATTAAACCCAAATATCAGGAGTGACTTTTATAGTCCCTTGGCTGTTTCTATATTCCATCTTTAGTCTTGTGGATGGTGAAAACTCCTTCAAAAAATGAAACTACAAAAGATTAATTGTCTTTCCATGGAGCCAGACATAGAAGAAAAAAATATCTAGACAAAAGGTCAACATTTTTGCTGCATGGGAATTTCCACTGAGGTAGTTTAGTTTTATCTTCATTTACTAAAGGTAATAAATGAATGCAAAGTCTAGACATTGAATATTGTTCTACAACCCCATTTCTTCCACTTCATCTGCAAAACTGGAATGTTGCCATTAACCAGTCATTTTTTTCATAAAAATTGGTTATTAACAGGATTAATATCACAACATATTCCCTTTGTCTCTAGATCATATCCTTCTAGAGATTTCTAATATGATTTTATTCTTTCCTATAGTAATAAAGAAAACATTAGGATGTTGCTAATATTATGAGTGCATACCATAAAGCCATACTCACTCTTCTTAAATTTATTTACATTTAATGAAAATTAAACATAAATATGGAACAAGATTATAACAGCTCAGAGATTCTAATTAGTTGAAATTCTTAGCAAAAAGTTTGAAAAAGTGCAGTGCATTCTGGGCAATCTGCTCTGCTTTAAGTTGTAAAACATATGGTTCTGACAAGACTTTAAATCTCACCAACTTTCAATATAGGCTGGGCAATTTGATTATGCATTTGCTTCTCTTTCCCTAAAGGAAGACCTCTTTCCATAGGTCAAAACCCACTAGAGAGTATCTTCAACGTTTTAATTTCCTTCTGCTTTCTACCAACTTTATTCAGTTCAATAAAGTTTGTGCCTTAGACCAGACAGCCCTTATCTTGATACTTAGAGAACACTAGAAACTCAGTAGATATGGAGTTATGATGACCTTTCTAGCTTTCAGCCAGGCAGTTTGCAAACACAGCATTATGAGGAAGCCTATCACTTGATCTAGTTCTGATGTCCTTCCTGATATAAAGTTTAACAGAGATATTTTTACACCTTCCAATTGTACAATACTTGATATTTAAGAATATGTCTACAATGATTATATTTATTATCGTATACCATAAGTAGAGACGGACGATGACCCAAGGCAGCTACATCAATAAAATTTGGATTATAAAAACAGACGTGATTCTCAAGGTATGTAGTTCACGTCTGTAAGCCCAGGTCTGTGCAGGTGGTGTGCACCAGGTATCATTTGCTCAAGCAGCCTGGGGAATCACAGTACACTAACTGAAAAATTATTGCGTGAAAAGGAGTGTGGTTCAAGTGGTAAAGCACTCTCTCAGCAAACCGTAGGCCTGGAGTTCAACCCCAGAACCACCATTAACGCAAAAGCAATGATAAACAGTTTTTTATGAGACCCTAGAAAACGGAGTCTGGCTTTATGAAATTGAGGGAGGGAAAAAAATAAGGTGTCTAGAACTCCTGGGGGTTCTTCAGTTCAGTAGTGATGTGTGTTATGAGGTCATTTTGTGCAAGTCACATGTCTGTAGCTTAGTCATTTTTCCCAGTGTACTAACTGATTGCCTATCAAAACTCCCTCATCTTCTCTCCATGGTGTCTCACCCACCCATCACTCCGAGGTTAGAACAGATCTTTGTCTCTCTGGAGTAAGACATCTCCCAAATGAATAGCAGATGGATAATGTCCCCTATCTTCCCTCACACAGCTGTGAGTAGTCACCCACCAAAGTATAGGCTTGAGAGATGCAACAAGGTGAAAGGAACCTGCAAACCCTTCTGTGATGACGTGGAATATGATTACGGCTACTGCATCCTGTGGAGAAACCAATGCTGCGTGTAAAGCAAGAACGGGAGGTTCCACTCAGCACCGAAACAGGTCTGGAGAGGCCTCCAGCTTACTGGCCAATGGGAGAGAAAGAAAATGCTTCCAACTAACTGTCCATGGAAACAGGCACTTCTGGGTTTTCAATATACCCCTTGACATACCAAAACGAATCCTCGTCCATTGGAAATGTACGTGCCTCAGATGGATGAACAGATTAATCAAGCAGGGACACAGACTGGTGACATTTATGATCTCATTATGGACTTTTGCAGGCCAGATCTCTGTATTACTTCTTGAATTTCTCCGCTCTCTCCTTAAATGCATATGTTTGGATGATACACATTGATGTTTTGATTTATATACACGTACCACTAAATCATCACTACAATCTGGGAAGGAAACACACAGCTACCTCTTAGAGTTTCCTCCTGCCCTCTGCACTCCTTTTATTCCTATTCCTCTTCTCTATCTCCATAGGGAACTGATAGACTTACACTTGGTGATTAAATAGCAATTTGCATACAATTTGTGCTTTATTTTTTCCTATATTCAGCATGATTTTAAGGTTTCTGAAGCTAACTCTGGCCATTTTCCTATGTCTTTAGTTGATTTGTACTGGGTTTCCCTGTTTTCAAAGAACAAAAGGAGGATGAGGGAAGTCACCTCACCAGACTGATGTGTATCCCAGAGATGCAAGAACAGCTGGACAGATGCAAGGCAGTTGTTATGGTAAGAAGAGGACACCAGCTACTATTTTCTTTTATAGGTTATCATTTCAAGGGGTGTGTGAAGTGCCAATGGCTCTTAACAAGGTAGTTTCAGAAAGAACGTGGCTCGATGTAATACAGTTTCTATATAACAGAAATGGAAGTAACAGCAAATTGAAAGGAGAAGAAATGAAAACTTCTCTAAGATCCAGATAATGTAAGGATGAATAATTCTCTCCCCCTTTATTTGCCATAACGCTAAAAGTCCGGGTCAGAAGTAAAAGTTGTCCAAACTGGAAAGACAGAAGTTGATAGAATGAAAGGATTATGTACATAGTCTCCATCCCAAACTGTCAGAACTGATAAGAGCACACAGAAAACTTAAAGGATATAAAATATACAAAAGAAATAACAATGTTTCTGTGAACTGAGAAAGAATTCCAAAGGGCAATCTCTTTTCCCATTAGACAGAAAATAAAACCCTGAACACAGGAAGACAAAAGATCTCTACAGAGAAAACTGTGAGTCGCTGAATGGAAGAAATAAAAGACAAGACATAGAAACAGCCCATGTTTGCAGATTGAAAAAATGAACGCTGCTATAATGCCCATACTTCCCGAAGAGTGTGAAGATACAATAAATAGTTTCCCTCAAAATATCAACTCCAGACTGAGAGTGAAGGTCAGCTTGAGGAAAGTTAAGTAGCTAGAAACAGAAATCTCTCCACTAAGCCTTTCCCCTAGGAATACGAATCCTACCACACAGACTTTGGGGAAAATGTATCTCCAGCCAACTCTATAGACTGGAGATGAGCTATTAAGTCTGACTTCCCTCCCAGTGTCGTCCTGGTTTATGAAAAAATCCCACAGAACCTTGTCACGGTCCACGATGATAAACACTAGCTAAATATTTCAGAAGCCACTGGGACACATATCAAAATCTGTTTATTAAAATGTCCTCTCCCCATTAGAATGTATTTATTTTGGATCTTATTTGGAGAATGGGTGGCCAGTTATACTGAGCTATAAATGTTAATTCAACCACCCAAAGTGAGCCGCAGAGGATGGAGATGCTAATCTTTGGCTGTGGGTTTTTGACTCTGAGCTGCCTGTGTTAAAGTTTCCTGTAGACCAATCATTGCCACTGGAACATGCTGGATCATGGGGAAGTTTCGAGAGTACATCAGTGAATTTACTGGCTCTTCAGCAGGGAAACTTGGCTCAAGCCACTGACTTCAGCAATTTCTCTCTGTACTTTTGGTTCTTGAGTCTATTTGTGAAGTAAGTGTCCTATTGGTTTATTTTCCTTTTTAAAATGTTTTATTCTTATTATAGAGGTGATGTACAGAGGGGTTACAGTTACAGCAGTCAGGTAATGAGGGCATTTCTTTTTGGACAACATTACCCCTTCCCTCCATCTCTCCCAGTTTTCCCTCCCATCCTCACCCACCCTATCTGTTAATTGAGATAACAAACAGGAAATGTTGCAATCCGCAGCAGCACCTAGCATTCTGCCTGTCATCTTTACATCCCACATTTCAGGCATCTTTCTTGACTTCATCTACATTCTATTTCCCCTCTGCCCACAAGCAAATAATATGAAAATGAAGGACTCTGTACTAAAAAATTATGCAAAGTAATGCGAAGACCGGGGAAGTTTCTCACATATAGAACGACACATGAATATCATTTTTTATCTCTTTCCTTATGTGGAAAATGAAGACACTGATTTTTTTTTCCTCCCCACCTAAGAAGGATGCAGATTTAATTGCCTGTTATCTGCCATGCCCACACTGAGCTTGCTTCCTTTGGGGAATTTCTGCCATTATTCTAGCCTCGGGATTTAGTTAGGGGTTGACATGGTGTTAGAGTTCCTGCCTCCTAATAAGGATGTTGATAAAAGGTAGGTCCTAGACCCCTCTGTCCCAATCAGCTGTTTCTTGGGATTGTCACCATCTTCTTCTCTATCTCCCCAGACATTACAAAGTTGCTGGGGTGGTTTCTATTAATTAAATAATGCTCCCTCTCACCTTCTACCTTTTGACAGATTCGAAGTACACAAATAAAAATTACTGACAGCATATTGATGGTCAAAATTCCCATTAAGGTCACCCTTCATATAAACTCCCTGGTTGTCTTTCTTCTTCGGTGTGTCATAGAGCTTTTCTATTATTAATAGGGCCTTCCAATTGTTGCACAAGGGTGTTTTTATTTAACAGGTCTATCTATGTATATAATACATCTTGATTGGACTCACCTCTCCATGCTCCCCTACCCTTTCTCCCACCAGTCACGGTGTTTCCCACTTTCATGTTTGTATCTGGACGTTGTGTATTAGGGCTGCATTTGCTCACCGTTCCTTTTTCTGTTGATCACATCTCTTCCATGACCCTCCCCTCCCCCATCAAGGGGTGTATGAATGGTTTGGTGATTGTTCAAAGGGCGACACAATGGATTCACTCCCGCACTTCCCAGGCCTTCTTGACTGTGATTGTGTATATGTCCACATGACACTGTGTGTTCCTAGGAAACTTTTAAGTCTAACATTTTAAGTCTAACATTCACACAGGGGAGAAAAGTGTGTGTCCACTGTCTTTTGGGGCCTGGTGTAGTTCACTCAGTATGATTTTTGTCCCAATCCATCCATTTCCCTACAAATGACATTTCCTTCTGCCTTATGGATAAATACAATTTTAGTGTGTGTGTGTGCACATGTGTGTGTGTGTGTGTGACATTTTCTTTGTCCACTAGTCCTTGTAGGGCATCTGGGCTGTCTTTATAACTTGGATGTTTTGCCTAGTGCTGTGATATACATCAGTGTGCAGCACGCGCACACACACTCACACACACACACACACACACACACACACATGCACACTTCCTAAGATCTCTGAATCATAGACTAGTTCTATTTTCATTTTTTGTGAGGAATTCACACACTCGCTTCCATCGTGTTTGAATTAACTTACATTCCCGCTAACAGTGTGTCAGGGGCCCGCTCTCCCACATTCTCACAACATTTGTTGCTGTTCTTCTTGACCATGGCTAGTCTGAGCAGGGTAACCTGGTCTTAGTGCTGTTTGGATTTGTGTGTCCATGAGGACCGCAAATGTTGAACACTTCCTCTTGAAGCGGTTGGCTGTAGGTGTGTGCAGTTATTTCGGGTTCTTCCAATCTATTCCATCCACCTTCAGGTGTGATTTTTGTGCCAGTACCAAGTCAATGTTATTTATTTATTTTTTGGTTGGTCATGGGGCTTGAACTCTGGGCCTGGGCGCTGTCCCTCAGCTCTTCAGCTCAAGGCCAGTGCTCTACCATTTGAGCCACAGTGCCACTTCTGGTTTTCTAGTGGTTTATTGGAGATAAGAATCTTACAAACTTCCCTGCCTGGGCTGGCTTTGAACCGTGATCCTCAGTTCTCAGCCTCCTGAGTAGCTAGGATTACAGGCGTGAGCCACAACACCCCGGCCAAGTCAATGTTATTAAGTCTCTATGGCCTAATGTGAGGTCAGATACTGATGCCACAAACATTTTCTCATCCCCCCCTCCCCCCGGATTGCTTCGGCTATTGGGGGTCTTTTGTGCTTCTTATATGAATTTTAACATTGCTTTGAAGCATGACATTGGGATTTTGATAAGTATGGCATTAGATTTGCACAATGCATTCGGCATGACGGACATTTTTGCAGTGTCGATTCTACCATTCTAAGAACAGGGGAGGTCTTCCCATCTTCTTATGTCATCTGCGGTCTCTCTCTTCAAATTTTTATAGACTATTATAGAAGTCCTTTAACTCTTTGGCTTTGGTTGTTGTTTAGGTTTGGTTTTTTCCCCCCCCAGCTATTCTGAATGGAGTTGTTTTCTGGAATTCTCTCTCATCCTGCTCATTGTTGATGTACAGAAAGCCTCTGCATTGTGTGTATTGGTTTTATATTCTTATACATTACCAAAAGCCTTTAGCAGCTGTAGATTTGGGATGGAATGATTAGAGATTTTTAGGTATAAGATCATATCATCTGCAATTAGAGATACTTTGACATCTTCCTTCCCTATTTAGATCTCTTTTTTTTTTTTTTTACTATTTTTTATTGTTATGGCTAATACTATGTTGGATAAGAATGGAGAGAAAAGACACTTGTTTCTGTTTTTAGAGAAGTGGTTTGAATTTGTCTACATTTAGTAAGATGTTAGCTATAGATTTGTCATATACATAGCCTTTATAAGGACAATATAATATATTACTCCTCTTCCTAATTTCTTCAGAGCTTTTATTACAAAAACGTGTTGGAGTTTGTCAAAGGCTCTTCTG